TACTTTCATTAAAACAATTAAACCCTTACTATTATTGCCCTATCTGGTTATTACAGCGCAAATATAAATCATCAGTTACGGGAAGTAAAAGCTTTCAGATGGAATTACTCTAACACCTGCCTCGTGCAATGGGCACAGGAAGGATGATGTGCACCCGGCTTCTTCGGGGGCAGCGCTGCTGCCTAAATAAAAACCTGTCATATTCAGAAAGTGAATATTATTGTGCTGCCCTGGTTTGCTCTGGCAGAAAAGCAGCACATGCCTATGGGGAGGGTGAGCAGGAGGAACAGTGCTTGGGATGAGAAGAGCTGGGATTTGCATCACTCAGTGCAGTGGCACTGCACAAAGCTAAACAATGCCCTCCCTCATCAAAGAAACAATTTCATGGGCAAAAACGTCACGTTCAATGTGATACAGCGGAATGATTTTGGCACAAAGTTTGGGGATTGTCTGGAGCCCTTTTCCTTTTCTTTTTAAAATAATACCTGCACGTATTCCATGTGTCAGCACCATCACACACTCTCCATGGGGTCACAGAGTGTGTTGCCCAATAAAACCAGACCTTTCCGCAAAACTGCACTTGCCCTTCTGATCTGGCAGAGGATGCATCAAAGGGCAGACTGTTTAAATATAATTTCACTGGTTACTGCGTGGGTCATTAGAACTGGATATATGTAATTTCAAAGGCTTTTCTCCTTCTGCTCCTCACATCATTCCAGGTCACACTTCCCTACAGGTGCTCACTGTTGACTCAAGGACACTTCCAGGCAGCAGAATATCAACAGAGCAGGGATGGACAGGCCAGCTCATCCTACACATTTTAAATTGCTTAAAAAGACCCAGAAGCCTTTTTGCAAAAAGAGTCTGTGGCAGGGACTGAAATCAGTGCTCAGCATGTGGCTTAGACAAACAGAATGGTCATTAGTGACTGTTGTCATTGTCACACCGGTGTAGACTGTTAATTCAGCACAGGAGTCATTAAAAACAAGCCTCAGTGGAGAGAGGAGTTTTTGTCAATGCTAGATGACTTGGCAAAAAGTAAAGAAGACCCTCAATATCCTACATAGCTCAGCTTGTAAATTCAGAACAAAAACTGCCAGGAATTTGCTGGCTACAGGATTAGGCACTAATTATTTTCTTATGCCAAAAGCTGTTAAAACCCAAACCTGCTTTTCTTCACCCCACAACTTAATTAAGCTCACTGGTCATTCAACAAGTCCCTCTCTTCCAGAAGCATGTCACCACTTCCAAAGCTTTCCCCTGACTTTGCTCCTGGGTTGAGGTGGTATCACCCTCACACTGACTGTAGCCATGCCATGTGCCTGAGAACTAAGGGCTCAGGCTGCCCCACCCCTGCTCCATCCCCAGGGCTTTAATTGCCTCTGAGCTCAAATTAAAGAGCAGGATCCTCTCTGCTGCACGGGTGTCCCTCCCTTAGAGTTCCCCCCACCAGGTGCTTTTAATTTATTTGTATTTCCAGCAGCGATAATTGAGTTATCAATTTTGTGCTCTTTTGGGCCAGAAGCAAAGAGATCAGAGAGCTATTTTATACACCTAATTATAGATTATTTCCCATAGCTATAAAACCACAGAGAGACAAATCCAGAAAATATGTAGTGAGGTGATCTGTGTCCCCTTCATCTCTACTGGCTTCTCCCTACTGCTCCCTTAGACTCCAAGCCGAATGCCCTCCAGAAAAACACTTGTCAAAATCTGGGGATACCTATGTCCCTACAGGAAAGGGAAATGTCTCCCCGCTCCAACAGAGAGCTGCTTAAAATGAAATTCAACTTTTACTGAAATGATCTGTTTAAGCCTTTAGCACCTCATAGAGTCAGGCTGAGATTTATCCCATTTCTGTGCAGTTTGGCTGTAATCCGGCTCATAACGGTGGCCCAGGGTCCTGCCAAGGAGTGAAGGATTTGATTTTCTTTCTCACTAATGGTTTTTGGGGTGGGGTTGAACTAGATGATCTTCAAGGTCTCTCCAACTCAAACCATTCTGTGTTTCTCTGAATTTTGCGTTTCCCTTCATGCCCCCCATTATCGCCCCACTCCCCTGGCCCAGAGGCTCCTGCCGAGCCTCCCTCCATCCCGTGCAGGTCCGAGCTGCCTTCAGCATCCCCAGTTCTGCCTGAGCTGCCTGGAGCACACTGCAGTGCAGAGCCAGTCTTAAAGTCCAGCAGATCCTATTTTTATATTTACGGAAAGAGATGGGAATCGTCTGTGTGTCGGTATTAGGTTTCTGGTGGTGACATGAAGAGGCCATCCAAGATGTATGACCTAGCAAATGTACTGTAATGCACACATCACATTTGTTCTCCGAGTAAGTAGATATTGCCCAGGGTATATTACATCTGTGCTTTCATGTTTAATTTAATGTAAGTGAACTGCCTTAATTTCTCTAAATTGTAGCAATAAACATAATGCTAACAGTGATATTGCTAATAATTTATTTTGCAAGTGATTAATCAACAATGAACTGTTTTAATTACCTGTTCGGAAATGCCAAACTCTAAATTAATTATGTGTCATTACATGAATTCATATGTATAAATATATACACTTATATATGAATTCCGAGGCTAATTAAAATGAATAAACCATCAGATTTGGTGAATTCATAGAGCTGAGGGGGAGGGAGGAGTCTGCTCTCCCCTGCTCTTCTGCCTTTTTGCATTTCATCGTCAGCACAAAGAAAATCACATCCCAGTGCTTTCATTAAGTCATTTATGATCCTAAAAAATATATTACCCAGAGAAAGTAGCAAATTCCCTGGGTCCCACACTGCAAAGGGCAGCAGGTGGGAGCAGGGGTGGGTGGCAGGGGCTGCAGCACTTCCGTCTGCAGGAAATGCAGAGTGTGATTCTTTGGGGTGATCTCTGTGCCAGACCTTGGAGTCCAATGGGGACTCGAATGGGGGAGAAGGAGATGATTCCCTGCTCTCAGTTGTTTTTTTGCAGGGAAATCAAGGATTAAATTAACAGATTTGGAGCACAACCACAGAGTTGTTTTTTTCACCGGGGGGAGGGGGCTACATCTAGAGATACTACAAGGCACAAAGCTGGCAGTGCTGGGGTATTTAGCAGCAGAAGCACCCCAGGTGTCCCAAAATGAGGCTGGGCAGAAAGGGGGGGCCACCTCTTTGCAATAAGGCTCAAGCCCAGAGCTCATGGCCAAGAGGCCCCCAGCCAATCCAGCACTGGCCCAGCCAGCAGCAGTGGTCCCCAGTGGGTTGGTGGCCCCTGCAGCAGAGGGACAGGGGACTGCAGGGGAGGGAATCTCTAATTTAGGGGTGTGGAGGGAGACAGTTCTAATGGCTTGTAGCACTGGCTTGAAGAACAGGATGATTAATGAGAGCAGTAGCATGGAGGAACCAGAATCTAAGTAATGAGACCTTTATTTGATACATAATACCACTGGGACCTTCTATAAAGAGAATACCAGGAGTAGGGCTAAGTTTTGCTGGTTTGGGAATGCATCAGGAAGGGGGAGAGTATTGCTGACTCTGCAGTCAAACACTGGGGCTGTACACAACGGGACTGCAGTGCTGTTCAAAGTGAGCCTGGGACATGTTAATTCAGTCATATATTTTCAGATGCTGGAAAAACACCCTGCATTCTGATTTAGTGTGCTGAGTGGACATATGCAGAGCTGTGGGTTTAAAATGCAGGGTCCAGAGCCTGATTCCATCACCTCATGGTTGAATTCAAGCTGGGAGATGAAGAAGAAGCCATTATATACATAAGAAGAACTTCCAGCCAAAAAATTACTTATGGTTTCAATTGAAGGAGAAGTTGCAGATAGTTTGGGTATGGATGTCAGAAACACAGCAGTTAACGGCAGAGATGTATGAGAGATTGGGTGGTGATAACTTAGATAAATTGGTGTCTCATCCATATTAAGGAGACAGCTCATCCTCAGTTGCTGCCGGATGACATGAACAGTGGAGCGTATATGGATACTAAAATACATTGGTCTTAAAGTTAAATCCCCAAGAACCATCAGAAATAAGTCTCAGAAGCCAAAGTGAGATCTGATGCACAGCACAAAAATACGCAGCCTGTCAGAGCACGCTGCTCTCTCCATATAACTTCCACCATTTGTGGGACAATTATAGGGAAAACAATACTGTGATCTGTAAAACAGTTCCTGGAGTGGTTTTATTCACTAACTCAATGCTATGCATAATCATTGCCAGCAACATCTCAGAGGTGTGTGCATAATAGAGAGACATCAAGTCAATGAGTCAAAACATCAGAAAATAAAATTCAGATGAACCTCACATTCAAATAATTATATCATCTGTCATTTAACACTATCTGAAGACCTCCTTACTGAAATAGTACATCTAAACCAAAAGTTACCCCAGGCAGTAATACCATATTGAGCTGTGTTTAGGATCTAGCAGGAACTGGGGTTTCCTGCACCTCGAGCTGGCTGCCAAAGAAGGGGAGCTGGAGTTACAAGTCCTGTGGGGATCTTCAAACTGAAGCACCCAAAAGACTCATAGAGACAGAAGGCACTGGGAGGGTCTTTTCCTCTCCTGTACCCACATCAAAACCTGCCAAAGCCATTAGCAACCCCCCCAGCGTCACCCATTCCCTTTGCTTTGTGGATGTGCATAATAATTTTTTTCAAAACACCCGAATTAGCCTCTAAAAAAGGGTTTGTATCCAAATGCAAACTTAATTTGCCCTCCCTGACGTTACACTTGCCTGGATTAGATCCTTCATTCCTCCTGTTCCAAAACACCCATTGAGATAAGAAGCTCCCCTTTTTGAAAATGCAGGTTTGGAAGACCTTTAAATCCCCTCACTAAATTCTTATCATGCTGTTTTCCCAAAGCACCGTGTGTAGTAGCATCGTCTCTGCACTGCAGCTTGAAAGGAACAATTCCCTGCAGATGCAGGCGCCTGCGGCCAGGAATGCCTGCTCTGGGATGCTCTGGCAGGGATATCACAGCACAGGCCATAAGGCAAGTATATATACATACATATATAAAATGTATATGTGCATATATAAGCTGGTCCTCGCTGCACCCCGGCAGGTGCGGGCGGGAAGAGCGAGTGCCGTGTAACGAGTCCCAGTTGCTCCAGGGTGTGAGAATGAGCAATGAGCATCTCTGCTGGAAGCAAAATCGGGAACTTGGGTGAGCTTTGCTGCTTTAGACAACAAATCACTGGGTGTGCTTGAGGGTTCATTTTTCACTGGGAAACACCAGTGAAACGAGTACTTTGCTGCTTATCTCTTTATTGCTTATCAGTGCTTCTTTTGCCCTTCATTTCTCGGAAAAGGCATGGTGCTTAAATGGGCTGAAGGGTGGATGCTGTGAAAGAACTAAGCCACCTCTTTAATCCCAAAGGCTTCATCAAGGGTTCATTTTGCTCTCCGGGAAAATCTTCTGTCTTCCCAGATCACTCGCCTCCCTCACTCCGCCATCCATCTAGGTTGCCTCGTCTGTATCTGAAGGCATGCTTGCCATCCTTTGAAGAGGTAGTCTCCTCTAAAAAATCAATAGTTAACATTGTCTTTAAATAGTCTGACATTTACCTTTACTGCAGTTTTCATTTCTTTCTGGGATTGCTCAGACATTTGTATTACCTACATACATTCCTTATTTCTCTGCCTGTAGCCACTGACCAGGAGCTTTGCAGGGGTGGCAATCCTGGTGGTGTAGCTCCCAGCCACAAATAAGGAGACTTTTGCAAGATAATTGAGAGGACTGGAGCTCGCTAATAGAAGCATCTTTAATTTATGGAAGACATCAAGTGAGAATAATTACAAGCAAAAGGGTAGCATAAATCCCTGAAGAAAATACATGCTGAATGCAGTTTTCCCAACAAGCAAATTTGAATGCTGGCCCAAAGGTCAAAATAAAAGACTCTGAGCTTCAACCTCCTGAGCCATCCACCTTTGCTTTGGCTCTTGTCAAGAACTTGTCTGGGGGTTCATTTAGAAAGCTGCTTGCACAGAGCAGGGCCGTTTGCAATCTGGGAAAGTTAAGCAAATTAGCAGAATTATTAGGTAAGAGGCAATTCTCCACAGCCTGCAAAGCAACTGCTTGTTAAATTAGCTCACACGGGAGAATCGCACTGATCGAATGATGGTTGCAGTGTTTGCAGAGAGAAGACTGTGCAGGTATTTTCTCTGAAATAACACTGCTGTACTCCAGCCTAAGAATAAAATAGGAGAGTTTGTGCAGGTTCCCTGGCAGGCTGGGACAGGCTCCTCGTGCAAATGTACTGGAAGATGCCTTTGTCTTTTATGCACATTCCTTCTATCCAGTTCCTTCTGCAATAATAATAAAAAAACTAATAAAGAAGAAGAACCCAACCCCCTCAAACTATCTGCTGCTGAAAATAGGGAGGATTGCAGGAGAACTGATGCCACCAGACCCCTGGAAGCAGATGGCTCGATGCACCCAGTCCCCTCTGGGACTTACAAGGACATCTGGGCTTTTGCAGCCTCCCTGTCCAAGGGAGACTTTGGGAATGGGGCTTTCAGCAACAGAAAGAGAACTCAGAGTCCTCCAAGAAGCCAAGAAGAGGGTGGTTCACACATGGTTTCTGAAATCTCAGTCTCATTTTTATATACTCATTGGCTATTGATTTGATATTTTTATACCTTATATAGTGCACTTAGTACAGGAAAAAAATGGATTAACCAAGTAAATGTGTTTTATTAGTGGGTCTCTGATGGAAAATTATGTCATTTTTCCATTTAAAAGATGCATCAGATTAATCCACTCATGAATCAGTCTTGTCTGCACTTGAAAACCTACTCACACCCCATGGTAAATTTTCCGGTGTGACACTGCAAACAGCATATAACAATCAAAGTTTTAAAATTATGAAAAGGTATTATTGTGAAGTCTTTAGCACTTCCAAAGCAGCTGAGAATGAAGTGCTCATCCCCAAAGTGAAGTGAGGGTGTTACACCAGACTCAGTTCCACATTCCCTTGCAGGAGATGAAGCTTTCTCATAAAGTCAGGTACTTGAATCCATCAGCATAAGCAGCAAACCACTGAGTTCTTCCAGCCTCACCCTACTTGAAATTCCAAACAGCACCCACAACTGCAAGCAGGAGAGTCCTGGAGACCAACAGTGTCTAAAACAAGGGACAAGACACCTTCCTGGCTTCACTACATGGTCTGACACCCTGTTACCAGCCCCAAGACCTGGCAGTGTTGCTGCAGTGGACGCTGGCTGAATCCTGCAGGAATTGCTGGCGGATCGATGGGGAGGTTTCATCAGGCACCGGCTCCCCAGCAGCCCCAGCACAGGTGAGGCTCCCTGGGGTGTCAAGGGAGAATCTGCAAAGTCAGGCTGAGTGTAATCACCAGATAAATCCTCTGCAGTCGCTGGCAATGGACCTGAGCCACGATGCAGAAGTTCTGGTTCCAGATTGAACTTTTCTTCCCGGTTTAAGACATACAGTGTCTGGAGTTGGTTTAAGTCTCTGCCAGGCTGTTAGCTGATTTCTGGCTGTTCCCTGGTTACTCCAAATCCCCCCCCCCCCTTTTTTTTTCCCCACACTCCATCATCTGCTTTAAAGGATACAATACTTAAGCCCATACAATGGTGGGTTTGGGATCAGGATTATTAAATTTGGCAAGTGCTGGCTGTTGAACATTGCCCTATAGCACAAATGGCACAGTTTTGGTAGTTTGTTTTTTTCTTTCTTCTCCTGCTTCTTTCTATGATTGACAGATATCCCAGCACAAAAGGTTGTCCCAGGTTTTGTCCTTCACCAGCATTTTTTGGCTCACAGGACCATGCTCCTCACCATGGAAAGATGGGTTGTGCCTTTACTTTCCGGTGATCTACAAAAGAGCACTGAGGGCAGTGCACCTCTTACCCCTGACAGGATATCAGCTCATGGCCGGACACTTGCATATTTGGGAAATAGTTTCAAAAATCTTCCCCTCTCACTCTCACTCTTTTCCCTCTCCCACTATGCAGGAGAAAGCAGAAACCACCTGTAAGGCACTGCACAAAATAATTTATAGAGGGGTGGGCAGAAAGAACTGGAGGCAGATGTTATCTGAGGGAGGTGGTAAGAGATGTGAAATACCTATCCCACATGGATGTAGAAAAGAAGCCCTTGGTGCTGAGTCTCTGGTACCTTCAAGAGAAGACTGACCATGCTCTGCCCCCATCACTGGGATACTCAGCTCATTGTAGCCCTCCTGTAGCAGATAGTGCTTGTGGGCTCAGCCCCAGCTCTGTGGTGCAATCCTACCTTTCAGCCCCAGGAGTACATGGAAGATCACAGTGTTTGTTTTTGATGTTGTAGAATAAAAGACAAGTATCTATAAGCCAGCTGAGATCCCTGGGCATACACTGGTAGAACAAGCACAAGGTAAGAGCAGTTGAACACTAAAATAGGGAGCCTGTCCCAGAAATGTAGAGTCATTTAGGTTGGAAAAGACCTCTAAAATCATCGAGTCCAACCATTAAATCCATGTCCAATCCAGGCAGACCGATTGCGTAAGTTAATTTGCATGGAGCAGTGACAAGCTATTTTCTGTTGTAGTTCTGTTTGCTGAATACCCCAAAACGAAGGATTTTATTCCTTATGAGAGAAAGGAGGACTTCTCCACACCCCAGGCTGGGTGCTACTACACCTCAGCACTGCTGCAGGAGCTGAGGTAATGCATGAACCCGCCAAGCTGCTACGACCAGCCACGCGCCTGCTGTCTGGCCACGTCACAGACACAGAGGAAAGGACATCTGCTTCAGACCTCAGCCAAAGAAGTTCACGTGGACACATTTTATCTCATGGTTGCAAATAGCTCAGGCTGTGCAGGCAGTCGCCGTTCACCAGGAAGGGTGGCAAACAAGCAGCCCATGTGTAGGAGCTGAAGCATCCTTCTTCTGCTCTTGCTTGGATGTGCACGAGATGCCATCACCCAGCCCTGTCTTCCCTTGGAAATCATGTGCAGCACATCTCACTGTTTATGTTTAATTCAAACTAATGACCTACGGCTATGATATGCGTGATTATGGCAGTCATTTTTAATTAGGGGTTGTGTCAATAGTATTGACATTTTTATCGCTTTTGGGGGAAGTGGAGGATATTTTCCTGCAGGTGAACTCCTCTCTTTGTGGTTTTCTATCCCTCCAGCTGCACACATGGTACAAAAGGGCTGCCCAGCTAATTAAACAATGAAATGTTGTTAAGCCCATTCTCCGTGCAAATTAATTACAGCAACGTACACAATATCAAATCCAAGGAATTCAGAAATTCAAATTCCCTCTATCCTGTGGCAAGATTTATAACCCTAGCTTGACTGCAAGGTTTATCATTAACAGAAGCCCTGTTAGGATCTGGGAAACTCTGCGAGGAAGAGGATGCATCCAGTACCTTGCTGGCAAGTGGAGTTAGACAGGAACAGCTCAAGCCACTCCTTGCCTGCACTGATAAACACCCTACAGGAGCTGTCATTCACCCAGAAAAAAAAAGGAAGGCAGATCATTACATTTATTGGTCACAGTTTTTCAAGAGTTAATGAAGACCTACTAGAAAAGGCATGGATAGTAGCAGTAATATATATTTTTCATCTATCTAAAAAATACCTTTGTCTCAACAGCTTTACATAACACCAGTAGAAGGTCTGGCTTCTGCCTGACACGTCAGGATGAATCTTCCTCCCAGATGATGGTCTTGGTGTAGATGGTGCTCACATTGTAGAGTTTTTAATGTCTTTAACCATCTTTAGCTTTGTATCCTGATAGCCCCTTCAGGCTACATGTCAATGCCATCTGGGAGGAAAAGAAGAGACTCCTGCTCAAGCGCCGCTGTAACACAGATCTCTTGACTAAAATTGTGCTTCCTTCACTTGACAAACCGTCTGCACAGAGCAATTATCTGCCTGTTGGCCTGCTTGTCCTTTCTCTTCTCTCAGAAAAAAAAAAAAAAAAAAAAAAAAAAAAAAAAAAAAAAAAAAAAAGAAGAAAAAAAAAAACCACAGATGAAGGAAAAGGACCCACAGAAAAACTCCATGGACAGAATCCAGCTGATCTGATCGCACCATCCAAGTTGTGGTTGCAGAAGTGATCCCTTCTTTACCACCTCCTTTGCCCCCTTCTCTTCCTAAGCTTGACTCGTGAATGCTCTCAGGTATTTGGGACAGATAACATGTCTGTTTTTATCTGTCTTAAGTCCTGTACAAATATGGATATTAGAGTATTAGTGTATTTAGGCTGATGTGTTCAGCAGCTCTAGATTATGAATTGCTCCTCAAAATAACGTTTGTGTTTGCTGACAAAGATCTTTATTACAGAAGAGGGTCAAGCAAAAAGGATTACTCCTGCTAATTGTTCACTGTTATTTAATATTTGCACAAAAGGTTTGCGGGACTGAGTCCTCAGGATTGCCTTGTTTGAGAAGCTAATAGGGTTTCCGGGAAACCAGCAGTGTCTGGTGAGCCATCAGGGCAGCCTCTTAGAGGATATGCAGGACAATTAGATTTGATGTAGTTAAGGATGGTTGGCTAAAGG